TGAATAACTCCTGGGTGTAAACGATAATATTAAAGATTCTACACAATCTATAGAATTACAAGTTTTTCTATCTCAAAACTGACAAAATGGAAAATGTTTTCTTATGGCTAAGGAAATTTGTCTTTCTGAACCCGCGTAAAAACTCAAGTAGGTTTTCGGGAGTACCTATATAGTTTTGGATAAGGTTCAGGGTCAAGATATCTGGTCAGCACGTCATTTTATATCTACATAAAAAGAACTGAGCCTTTTTCACTCCTGTAGTAGCTGTGATTCGTCGACCAATCACCCTCGTAACCGTTACCATATAATCCTCAACGGTGTTTAAAATCAGAAGGCAAAGAGAAGCAGCGACTACAGTTTTATTAGCAGACAACTCACATCAAAAAGCAGAGAGGCAAATGAACGAGTCAGCGAACCGAGAGTGTAGAGTGTAAATGTACATGTATATATATAGGGGAATGAATGGATCATCGAATCAATTAAGCAGCAAATAATAAAGCTAGCAGAATGAATATATGCGTATGCGGTAAGCAATGTTCAAGCATACATATTTCATACAAGCACAACAATAATAAGGGTACAATAAGTTGTTATAGTAAGGATGACTTTTTCCGCTAAATAAGTTAACAAAAGGGCTTAACCGAGTTAAATGAGAACAAACTCAATTGCACGTGAGTTGCTATACTCCATTATTTAAAAAGTATATTTTGTCTAGAATACCATACAAAAGTATTTCTGTTGACCATTTCACGTGATAAAGGATAAAAGTTATTTGCTTCCTAAATTCGTGCAAATATCAGTTATCATGTCAGTTCTGATTGGGTCGCTTACTTACGCCTGTTACCCCTTGCACTTCTAATTCTCGCATTTACATCTGCATCAGATCCTCCACGTTCATCGATGATGCTGTCCAGGTACGTGAAAGTTTCCACCTCTACCTGAGTTTCACCATCAAGTGTGATTGCGTTAATGATCTCTGTGTTGTATTTGAGAACCGTGCTTCATCCCATGTGTATTTTAAGGCCTACTGATGCACAGGCTGCTGCTACACTGGTTCTCTTGACCCGAATTTGTTTGTGTATAGGAACGAAGAGCTAGGTCAGCTCACAAGTAAAAATCATCTAGTTGCATACAACCTGTCCATTGTATTCCGTGTTTTCCCTCAGATGTTGTGGTCTTCATAATCCAGTCAACTACCAGAAGAATGAGAAAGAGGGAGAGTAAGCAGACTTGTATGACTCCGATCCCCACTTGGACAGATCCTGTCAGCTGTTTTCCATGAGCAACTCCGCAGTGTAGCCCGTCCTATCAACTCCGGATGATGTTGACGATTTTCGCACATAAACCATAATGTCGAAGAAGGTTCCATAATGTTCTCCTATCCATACTGTCAAACGCCTTCTCATAGTCAAGGAAGTTGATGTATAGTGACAAGTTCCATTCAACTGTTTGTTCAACGATGATCCGTGGTGTCACGATTTGGTTTGTGCACGACCGATCCTTACGGAATCCGGACTGTTAATCTCAAAGCTGGACCTCCACTGAATATTTCATCCAGTTTAACAACACTTTGTTGAAAACTTTTCCTGATACTGATATTAGTGTGATGTCTCTGTAATTCTCACACTTGCTCAGATCTTTCTTTGGTATCTTGTTGAGGTACGCCTCCTTCTAGTCTGTTGGCACTTGTTCTTCCTCCCATATCTTCCTGAATAAGACATGGAGCATGTTTAGTTACTTCCATTTCTGATTTCAGTGCTTCGGCTGCCATATTGTCTGGTCCTGCAGCTTCCCCACTCTTGATTTTTCCAATAACCATGTTTTGTTTGATCGTTGGTGAAATGAAATATATAGGAAGCTCTGTACATGCTGCATCGATTTCCGGTGGGTTCAGCGAGGCTTGTCTATTCAAGAATTCATCAAATTGTTCTACCCACCTGTTCCACTGTTCTTGAATCTCAGTGATTGGCTTGCCCCCTTTGTCTTTGACTGGTCTCACCGATTTACTATATTTCCCTGTTAGTGATTGGGTCACTCTTACATCATATGTAACATATAGAAGATGATGGTAATGATAGTTGTGTAAATAGTTGCGTGATTAGTAGTGGTAACAGATGAAAGTATCACAACAAAAGTAAGAAAGTCTTGTTACGTATTTCATGGGAAAAATCAACGTACAAAAAATATTAAAGGCCATTAAGACTTATTATCAAGAACTGTTGTAGGGAAACATTTAAAGAATAATTAGCCTGTGATTACTTCTGTTCAACGTCATTTTTGATATGATCAATATCGGAAGGAAATCCATCAATCAAAAAAATATATTAGTGATGTATCAGACAATCAAGAACATTCGAAAAAAAGCAACAAATAAGGAATTTGTTTGAGAACGATGCAAACAACCTTATCAAGTTTCTAAGCATGTGCAATAACTAAAAATGAAGATTAGTTTTTCACGTACTGTTTATAATTTCAGTAGAGGGTGAATCCCAACAAAGGTTAGACTAGCTTACGTGACGAAGGTGACTTACAACATTAAATACGTAAAGCTAAGTGTAGTAAGATAGAAAAAGTCAGGGATAAAATAACAAGCAATACTAAGTACTCAATTCATACCTAACTGTTCTTTAGTGAATTATAAGTCGGCCAAACGCGATGTATGATCTGGCTAGTGTCCACATCGGCCAAAATTGCCACACCCCATCAGTACAGTGAGACGAAATAGTCAGGGAGAATCCCAGTGTTAGGGTTAGTAACCGTACTACTGGTAACAGAAAAGATTAGGCATCGAAGATATAATGAAATAAAGAATGAATTAGTGAGATAAAATGTGGGATTTAGAAACTTGGGATCCAAGGGAGGATAGAAAGTGGATGCACTTGCGACATCGCGAACGTTTTTCAGCCGTTCCACCCAGAGTATCTAACCACTGATTAAGACAATCACGCAGACCCCAGCTAGGTAGTCCTCACTTACCTACGTGTGTTAGCCTACTAGTCAGTGTCCTCATGGACCGGTGACGTCTTGGTTTACACGCCCGTAGCTCCCTTCCAACCTACTCCCACACTAACCATCATCACCCATAAAAAGCTCTACCAAACAGTTGACTTAATATAATTATCACATTCTTGAAAACACTATTTACATAATAATCTGTCCAAACAGCTAGATAATTATAATGTACAAATAATTTAGCTCAGTGGATAAGCGAACGTTGATGCTTATATTACATATTTAGTTTATGCATAGATCAACTCTTACTACAGTTGTACGAACATGAATATACCTTTATACCCCATGAGAAAGTTAGTGGATATCCGGAATACGTAACTTAGTGAATTGCGTGTCGAAGCTAGAATCTATAGGTAATGGACTCCAGTAGTGATGCAAATACCAACATTGTGATCCAGTTTATCAATATTCTAGATAGATCGGAACGCAGATCCTAGGTACTGAAAACGTTCACATTGTACCTAAATTCTTTGACCCAAACACAGTTTAGTTCAAATCTGCAAGGACTATCTTATTTTTTGTTGTTGATAAGATCCCTATGGTCACTTGTTTGAGAGAAATCAACTAAACATACAACACAGTGTTAAGGCGCATAATATATTTCGAGTACACCTTACCGATAACCAGCTTAAGCTTATTGGGCTAACTAGTGACCCTACATAGTTTGGAGTAACTTTACTCGTCGTCTACACACAATGGAGATCATTAAATAGAAGCTATGGTAAGCTATAGATCAGATTTTAGCACAAATATTACCGTGTACACACTATTTTAACAGCGACCATGTAAAAATATATTTATTTAACAGAGGGAAACTCCCTTCATTTGTACTTCAAATTATCACCTACACAGCTTTTTACGACCTCCCAACACTCCCCTTATCGTCAAGCAATTCCCGACAAAAGGTTTTTCAAATGTAAAAGCTTATGTGCTACGAAGATATCCCAAAACTGTACAACTAGTGTCAACTCATCACAACAGAAGAGGTATGAATTTAGAAAAAAACACTCAAATTTGTTTCGTAGTAACTTTGATCATTCGGAAACCAGAGAAAAATAACCACTCATTACAGTAGCCCACAGGAAACTATGATTACGTTTCCTGTAGACCACGTCTGAATACAATAACTTGAGGATGGCAACTAATTGAATTTAATCCTATTCATCATTATTACCTTTGATTTTATCAGGACTGTCTACGATTAATCAAAACTTTTAATTAGGAAATCTACTATGAGAGGTCAGTATATCATTTACAAGATATACTAGCAGTTTCTAAAGTTAATTAGCTAATTCGAGGCAACCAAACTCATCTCCAATTAAACAAGAAGACCGAAACATTAAATAATAATCTAATAATTTGATGTTTTATGATTGTAAAGTGAATATTGAATTAATTAGTCCTACTATAACTACTGATGTGTCGCTTCTAAATAACCACTTTGAGGTTTCGACACCTTGTCTAGTCGTTCCAAAATACTTTTGAACTTAAAAGTATCGTGGTGATCTCTATGCTCGAAATGTCATAACACATCTTTTATAATATTCCGGATCGGTCTTATGTGCCTAGATATCGCCAACTAGGGAAATACTGAGACAGTGGTGTCTCCCTTTTGAATGCAGCCACTGACTTTAAATTCTTACTAGGGGTTTACAACAACACGTTGGGTTTAGTCTTAGGAGGAAATTGTTCATTTATATCCAACTAAAATGTTTATTTTCTATCCAAAGCTTGATCTCGCTGAGTGAAAATGGATAGGTTGCTTAGGCTTAACTAACCATGCGTTTTGTTCAATCCTCATATTTACTCAGCTCAGTTATTTTGACTTCTAACTCATGACATTCCTAAAAAAGGTCATAATTTAAAAATAAGGAAGGAATGGGAGTGGATATTACATAAAACCATCGGAATGCCGAACTAGTTGATTCCTTTACCAAAGAATCTTAAATGGTGATAATTAGTATAAAGAGCAATGTGACTAGTCACTGGAAGAATTCTTTGACTTTTGTAAAAGAACTAAGTTTATCAATATCAAAGAGACAATGTACCAATCACAAAATCTTGAAAAGATAACATATGGGAATAATTATTATGCGAATTGATAGTGTGTAAGGAGTTATTTAGGTCAAATCACTTTGTCGACATAATAAGAGCAACTATCAGTCCATAGAGTCCAAGTACTTCCGCAAAGATTAAAATAAGCACCATTCCAACAAACATTCTTGGTTGCTTGGAGGTTGCTCGCACACCGGCGTCACCAACTTTCCCAATCGCGTAGCCAGCAGCCAGTCCACTGAATCCCACGCTCAAACCAGCACCAAGATCATTAATTGACCTGAATGTATCACTGGAGATGATAAAAACTTACATGAATAAGGTGTAACTGTCGTCTATTCTTTGAGCAATTAATACAGAGACGACAAGACCATATATTGCAATTATCCCTGCCATTACAACTGGTATTATGGTCTTCATGACGATATCAGGACGGGATACTGCAATGCATGAAATGCTCATACCGGAAATGGCAGTCCCGTAACCAGCGCCAAGTGCTAAAGACATTAACTATTAAATGGAAAAATACTTTACCACATAATATCATCGCCGAACTACATCCAATTAAACCCAAAAATGGTGCCCAAACTGGAGTGGACTCCATCCTGAAAAATTCGAAACGCCCACCTCAGATGTCTTCAAATGGCAAATGGTTCTGAACGGAATCGAAGTTTTCGCTTAACGGGCTTCCGTATCCAGTAGCAATGGATCGCTGACACCTCCAGACAGGAACCTAGGTATATTGACGGTAAATAAGAAAAATAATAATTAGTAAATTATAGTGAGATACTCTGCTTAGACCTTTAGAATACGTCAAGTTTTCTCCTAAAGGAGTCCTGGGAAGTTGCCTGGACTAACTCAGCCAGAAGCGAACTCCAACATTTGACTACTCTTGAGGAGAGCAATTTATACCTACAGTCCGTTCTGCTGTGTTTTGTCACCAGTTTATAGGTGTTGGGAATAAACTTAAGTAGGTGTTTAAGGGGATACCCAGAAGTATTTAGGATGTTTTAAGTCATCAGAAGGTCACCTCAAAGACACCTTCATTCTAATGGGTAAACGTTAGGCGATTAGAAACACTCATCATCAGACTTGAATTTGGGTTCCTGAAACAATTTCGTGGCTCGCCGTTGGATACGTCCCAGAGTGTCCTTGTCCTTTTGGGGTGAGGGGGCAAACACTATGCCTCCGTACTCTATATGTGGACGAATGAAACCGTTTAAGAATATGTGGACAGTTCCTCCATCAAACTGACCGACATTGCGCCTGAACGTTACCAGTGCAATGTTCGCTCGGAAGGCAGTTTTGTCGCAGTCAGACTTAAATTCGTAGGGTACCAACACTCCTAGATTTTTTCCAACATGAGACTCCTCTAGAGGGGAGTTGCCTGGGCTGTATTCGTGTCTGTGGACTACTTTACATTTTGAAGTGTTAAATGTAAGTCTGTTTTTGTCTGCCCAGCTATGAAGTTGAGTCAGATCCTCACATCACCAGTGAAAAGTAATAAATCTGATTATATCTGCTTTAGAGGATTGTCTTTATGAATCAATAAAGAAATACGCCCCAGTACTGAACCCTGAAGGATCCTCCTAGGACATTCTATAGCCCGAGAGAAAGTAAAGTTAACCCTGACCTTAACCTGTCGAGTTTTTAGATATGAAGTGAGCCAATCGATTGAAGGTGATTTAGTACCCAATCGTTTGAGTTTATTTATAAGACATATATGATTGACCCTATCAAAAGCTTTTGAGAGGTTAAAATATATGACGTTGACCTTCCCCTTGCGATCAAGGATGGTTGTCCACCTGTTTACCGCGGTCGGTAGGTTGACTTTACAAGAGTGAAATTTTCTAAAACCGTGCTGTTGGGATGAAATGAAATTTATGGATAGTAAGTAGTCGGGAAGACTGGCGCATATCACGGACTCCATAATTCCTGAGGGTATTGAGAGAAGTGCTATCGGCTTGTAGTTTGAAGGTTCGTTGCGTCGATCTTCTTTAAAAATTGGTGTGATGTGATCCAGATTCCAATTTTCTGGTAATGTACCCTTCATTACCTCTATAATTATCACACAATTTATCTTATCTGTCTCTGAACATCACCCAGTTGTTACATCATCCACCCCTCATGTCTTTTTATTCTAACACCAAACGACCTCCGACCTGTTCTTGTACAGAAGTATATAGTTATTACTGAGAATCTTTGTCATTTCGATTCTTTCGACTCACTTATGTAGATTGTTTCACATTATATCTTATCAAAATGTAATAGCATGACACATATTTCCTTGCAAGCAGCTGATAAGAAACCACGAAATATGATGAATTCATACTATTCTGTATCCATTTTCGTTTTGGCTTTTTTTAATTCATAAAGGGAACTAATTGCATGAAGTTTTTAGGAATTCCTCGTCTAAGCTCGACGGCGTCGGACTGCTTTTCCGACGAGTTTCTGATTTGACATTTTCGAATGATTGCATATCTTCAATGAGGTTAAGGAGCCGAACGTCAGCGGAGTTGTCATCTCCAATGTACATATGTTCAGAAATGTTAACTTTAGGAAGACCAAAGTCTCCAAGAATCGGGATATGAGTGTATCCGAGATGAGTAGGTTGGAACAATCCTTCCAACATACGGTTGTCAAACGCGGTGACATCAGTGGGCTTCCTGTAGATGAATCCAATGAGACCGCGAGGTGCTAGACAATCTTGCTTAGCACCATAAAGATTCACCAAGATCTATAAACTCTTGGGTCTGCACTTGATGTACAACCAAGCAAGATAGCAGGTACAGGGCTTTGCTTTCCTGTCTTTGCGAAACAAAAATATCCCGGGCATTGCTAGTTCCTGTTCCGTATTTTGAGAAGATATCCATGTTTCAGACATTCCTATCGGATGTGTATTATTAGCATTAATGGGTTCACACGGTTCATCCATTTTATTCGGTAAACTCGTGGTGTTCATATATAAGTAGTTTATGCGGCGAGACTATAATTTATAGACAAACCAATGTGATTTAGGATAACAGGTCTTGGATTTTTACGCAAAATTTACTCACTCATTTGACCAAGTAGCGTCATGGCATTTTAGCTGATGTCACTTCGTGATGAAAAACCGTAAATCTTATTCCTAACCATCAACTGTGAATGATAATGCCTATCCTCCAAAGTGCTTTATAACCCACATTTTGCCTTAGTAAGTGGGTAGACGTTCTCAAAGTCACTTTAACGTCTCTCAAAGGTCGTCCATAAATTGTAATCCCATCACTTACGCTTTCAACCTGAAACGCGTGAGCTTCCACGTCCTGTTTATCTGTATGGGCTTAGCGTGAATGGGCAGGTAACCTGCCTGCACAGGGTTTTTCCGAGTTGGTACCCCCTGTCCTCTCTACGTTTTCTCATGGTCTTGACGGTCCACAAGTAGGGTAGTCAGCTCCAATTTGCTTTTGTGTTTGATCCTGGCATCATATGATCTCTCGGGCTGCATGTGGATTCCAGATGGCAACCGGCATCTGTTGTTATGAAATGCTTCGTCACTGGCGGCCGCTATATGAGAGGACGAGAGGGTCATCCCCACTAGCCGGGGTCTAGAATATCCGTCTTTCTTGGCTAGTTTCACTACCTACATACAATGCATAAGAGAGGATAACCAAAATATTACGAACCTCATTGTAAAATGCAGTAATTCTTTATTTTAGGCAATAGTTTGCGTTAGATTTTATATTCATATTATCCAAGTTTAGCGGCTAAATTATAATGCTAATATTCTCTCAGTAAAAATTTACCCAAAATTGATACAGTTTCAGTTACGGTTTGGAATGGACAAGAGGTTGGGTGACTCATGTTAGTCCTGGTATTGGCAGTCTCTCAGACGATTCAAGTTTCTTTAGAAAGCGTTGACAAATTGAGCTTCATTTATATTTCAAGTTAGTGAATTCCATTCGATAATGATTCGATGGGAAAGTTGATAGTCAGGTGACAAGTAATTTGTTCTGGGCCTGTAAACTTTCTTAGAATGTTCTCGTTAGCTCTCTGTTTTGGGGGACTAGAAAAGTGAGGGCACATCAAATGAAGATTTATCACCCAGTAATTAAAAAACTGTGATCAAGTCGCCTCTAGTTATTCCATATGATAATGAAAATAAGCTTAGTTTAGCCACTCTAGCGTTGTACGGGAGTTTAACTATTCCTGGAAAGTCCATTTTTAGGCAAGGGCTAGCCACTTGTGTGTAGAACTCAAGTTCAGGACGCACGAATACCGCATACAAAGTCAAAGAGCTTTCGGCATTGACGTGCATATAGGCCCCACGTATTAACCACAGGGATCTAAATCCCTTGGCGGCTATTGCACAACAATATGCTGTAGATTTTAGGTCTTGGATAACGATGACTCCCAAGTCACTACGTGTCTGAAGAATAGATAACTCAATACTATTCACCGTGTATATATCCGCAGGTTGATGAACAATATGCATCACAATGCGCTTGAAGCATTTATCGATAACTGCCACATCTGAGACCAGCCAGATAATTTCTCCAGGACATTTTGAAGCTCTTAATTGTCGCTCTCATTTTTTATCTATCTTTATATCTTTATATCATCAGCATATAATAAAACCGCTAATAAAAGAAAACTAGGCAGTTCATTTACAAACAAGAGAAGCGACACCAGCCCAGAAACTGTACTCTGAGTCATTGAGCTAAGCACTGTTTTCTAGCAAGACAACTTGAAGTTAACTAGTACTCTTTGTTGATGTCCAAATAGGAAATTCCTTATCCACACAAGTAAACTGTCTCCACTCTTGGTACCACTTAATGTAGATAACAGCTCAATATTTGGAACTTTGACAGAGCCTTGCTGAAGTCAGAAAAGGCTACATTACCTTAAAATGATGTTGCTGCACAACTTTCTTCCGATAACGCTATGATGCTACCTCTTCTCACAGTCCTTTGGTTTATTTACGGATGAAAATTTTCAAGATATTTTCAGATTCATTAGACTTTTAGTTCCTCTCTAGCTACTAAAGTGGATGATTATAGCTTTATTGTCCGATCTACTGAAGGAGTTGAGTGTAGAACTTTTCGTATATTCGCCTTCCGAACGATAGTTTTTGTTTTAGGTGATACACTGTTGTTGACAACTACACAGAAATGAAAGACTAGAACTGCATGGTCATTTTTACCTGGAGGTGGCATATGATCAGGGCTCGTGACATCATCCTAGTAATGTGGCAATGTGAGATCTAGCAAAGATGATTCAGAGTCCGGGTTAAACCTGTCTGGCAAGACCTCATCCACCTCACAGTTCGAAGCGAAGTAGACCAGACGGATAAACAGCTCTTGTTTTTGCATTTCGAGCGTCAACTAATTGATTCTCACGTTCCACTTTCAAGGGATATGTTACTGATAACAGTTATATGAGTACTATATCTGATGAATAAAGCTACTCCTCATCCGTTAGGCTCCTGGGTTCTGTCGGCTCGGACTAATATGAAATTTTTGAGATCAAGTTCCTTGTTATCTACGGATCGTGTTGGCCGATACTCTGCGACTGCGGTTACATCCTGCTTAGAAGGCTCTTAAGTAAGTTCTACGCAATAGTGTAGCAGATCAGAAAACTATTTAAATAAATTTGCGCTGCCCCTAAAGTGACTTCAGCACCATCCAGTTTCGAATTCCCGTTTTCAAAAAAAATGGCTAGCGTCTGACCATACCTCAGTTGCTTTTTAGCCTCTCGTTATTTGATATGGTCTGTGAGCGACAAGTCTTTACCGATAAAAAACTCCATTCCATAGTGTTCAGTCCCTTATGTTGAGAGGTCTTAATACCACCTTTAGCAGCCTGATTTGATTTTTTAAAGTAAGTTTGGTCGATTCGTCTACAAAAATTCAGCAAATGGAACCCAGAGATTATTCGTGGCGATAATTTGATAGACTTTTCATCAAGCCAACCCCATGATCAAAACGAAT